CACAAGTTGCAGGGCCACTCTAGACCTAACTTTGTTGAAATGTAGTGTTAAATGTACATTGTGGTAGCCAAGGTTTATGCATCTTTTTCTTGAGAGCTTTCAGATATTTGTGAGAAAAGCTCTCACAAGTTGCCGTTCATGTCACAGTATGAAGAGTCCTGTCTCAATGAGCCACATTACGTGGTTGAGTAAAATAACTAAGTTTCTATTATAGAGTTACTAACAGTAAAACTTAGTAGCGCAATTATAAATAGTCCCTAGAAGATGTGATCCTGTTACAGGCAACTGAGCATTTTAGATAACTCCGAAAAGCAGCTGATATGGTTGTTGTATATATTCTAGCTTTGCAAAGCTGTCAAGATAATTTATCAGACCCCCCCACACAAAATATGCTTGTCTGCCCTTTTAGATGAAAACTGAAAACATTCATTATATTCCACTCACATAATTTATGGGTTATGCTAAATGAGTGGGATAATAAAATTGCTAATTATAATGTACAAATAAATACATTTATACATTTGTTATAGGAATGATTTAATGCTAAATTCTTCCCTTTAAAAAGCATAACCAGCTCCAGCTGGCATCATTTAAGAACTATCTGTGGGCTCAATTAAAAAAAAAAAAAGTTAAATACTATAAAGGTCAAGGTCTATTGATACCTATGTCTAACTTCCCAGATCTTTAAATTACATTTCTGGGGATTCTGTCGCATCTGTAAATGAAATCAGTTTGAGAAAGCCACCATGAAGCAGCTTATTCACTAGAAGTCCCTGCATTGTAGGGAGTCAAACTTTTTATGTGTCTGAATTCCATTGCAGGATTCATTCTCATAAAATATTGCTCAGAAGTCTGAGCATGTGCCGTGCTCCTGAGTTTCAAGCTCAGCCCAGATCCTGGCATGACTGGAGATGGAAAATGCCTCTATTATCCATTTCAAGAAAAAGTCAGGAGAAAATGGAGAAAGGCAGGAGGAGCTGGAGAAAAAGACAGTAAGACAGTAGTGCCTGGCAAAGGGGGTGATATTGCTTGCTATTGAAATGTTGCTTTCTCTGACTTCCTACTTAATTTGGCTTGAGGAGCTTATGGTACTTAGGCAATGAAGGAGCAGGCCCTTTGCATTTGAACAGCTATATTAGAGACTTGATCCTGTTAGCTACTGTGTGCAGATGATACCTGGAGCAGTTTATTGTACAACTGGGGCCTTTGTGATTATAAAAGATTTATTCTGCTGAATCAAATAATTCATGTGTTGTATTAGGTGGTTGCTTCAATATTTAACTTGGTCTTGAGGATGTGGAGAACCCAACTGGATGAGGATTTTTTTTCTAACTTGGAAAAAAAATCTTACACCTAGTCCAGCCTTGAGGGAGAGCACTGGGAAGAAAAGGCCAGAGAGGGGAGCTCCTGGGTTGCTTTCACTAGGGAAAGCTCCTGGTTGTCCCTGGTTAGTAGCTGCATTGTCTTTGTTTGCTTTTCTGTTGGTGGGTGGAAAATCACTTCCTTCCCCATAGCCAGCCTCCCCGCCCCCTTCCTCTCCCCCATTCCTAGCTAGCAGGGATGTCACAGTTCGATCAGCTCTGGCTTCTCTCTGATGGACTGCATGACTCCTTCTAGCAGGGTTTGTACTGTGTATATTAAGCCTGACTAATAGTGCTTTGTTGCATTTGTACAGAGCGTGTTGTACATGTCGTCCTCTCCCTTGCCAGCTTTTCTGTGACTTCAGAAGGGATTCATGGCACTTACAGAGACTCTGGACAATTAAAAATGCCTAGGGAAGAAGTATGAGGATCATAAATGACACCAGACTTGACAGATCTAGTGGCTCTTGAGAATCAGGTTAATCCTCTGGCTTTCTTTTTTCCCCCCTTGCTACAGTTGTGCACATCTATCCCCCATCTCCCATAGCTGGGTTTGTATGTTCACTGTCTTTTAAAATCAGCTGCTTTTCCCCTGTGCTTTTAGGACTTTTCTGGTTATCTTTAAAAAATACCTGTATATGAAAGTTTTTCTGACTAGGCCTGCATCTGCTGAGGGAGGGACTTCAGGACTCATATTTCGACTCCTATTTCTTGTTTGGTAGCAACCATTTTTCATTTGATTTGCTGATGGTGTTTTTGATGGACTAGGACCTCATTTTATGTAAGAGTATATGAAAACTACTCTCTCAGGAAAGTGCTGAGAGAGTTGCAACTATTATCACTCAAGTATATATTATTTTTCTTAAAAAATGATTTTCTGAGACTTCATTTCTGTGCATTATGTTGCTTGATGTGCTTGGGCACTAATCCAGAGAATCTTTTATAACAGAGTTGAATGTTTGTTTTTCTAGAGCTGTATGGCATTGAGTGACTACCATAAAATGGGCTGTCTTCACCAAAGGTAAATGTTTTTCAAATGACAAATAAATGGTGTGTGTTCATTATAAACAATAGCTTGGATAACATCAGTTCCTGTTTTTTAGAGTTGATTGCCAGCTTTTTTACAAAGCTGTTGATCAAAAGTATAGTACTAATACAATTCTAGCTATTCTCTTTATCTGTGCAAGGTTTAACTGCAAATAAAAATATATTGAAAATATTAGCATTAGAAATGTCTCGCTTAAGAGTATTTTTTAGAAGGATTTATGTTAAACAAAGAAGGAGTACTCATCAGTACATGTATCTCAGGAATCCAGCTTGACAGCATTTGTTTAAAAAATTTCCTGTGCTTTCTAAAGAACTTTTAGAAATTTCTAGGTAAATTTTATATGTGTAAGTAGTCTCTCATCCCAGTCAGTGATTTTGATGGGGTTATTAGTGGGCACAGATGCTTGCAGGGTAGGGCTCTGAAATAATGATTGCGTATGGTGTTTTGTTTTTTTTTTAAGGCAAAATTTTATAGTTGTAGTTGCTTTTTGTATTGTAGCTAACATCCTTATCTGAAAACCATACAAATAAGCTCAGAGATACTGACTCATACTTTGACAACTTTATCAGTGTCTGAAAGCTTTTAATTCTGAATTGGTTTTTTTTCCCCCCACTCATTTGTTCAACGTTTTCCACATTTATAACTGAAAAGGACTGTATGCACAGTTACAGTAGCTTACCTTAAAGGATAATAACAGAACGTTGTAATGAACACATTTCTTTATACATATTACTCCTACCACCTGATATTATTGCTATTGAACGAATGTTGAATTTATCAATGCTGTCTGTCAGACCTGAGAAATGTATAAAATCAATGAACCTGAAAAATGTCAGTTTCACTTTTGTTTCTAGTCAGTTTCACTGTGAAATTTTCATGGAGGTAATGCATTCTTTCAGATATCAGAGAGGGTGTTTATTTGCCTGTATATTATTTCAGATAATTATTCAAGCTTAAATTTAAGTTCACAATGTCTTTTAATAACATAGTTAAGATATACAGAGCAGTGTACATCTTCAAAATGCTGCTCAATTATTAAAGGGACTCTACCAATTGACTTAGGCCAGACTTTTAGTTGGGGAGTGCAGTTGTTTTAAACAAACCTCTGCAAAGCTTAAATAAAAACTTTAAGTAATTTATTTTAATTACAGTGAGAACTTTTTTTTGTTTAATTCCAAGCCAAAAGTAAAATCCCGTGAAGTTTCTTTCCTGCCTGAGAACCAGTGAATATGACTAAGAAAATGTGAAAGTAGTTAGGGTCTTATCCTGCAGGCTGCTCAGTATAGACATACCTTTTGCTTTGCCAGGTTGCAGTGACTTCAGGGAGACATTACTTGTAGAGGTGCACCGATAGAGATTTTGAGGGCTAATACCAATAGCTGATTTTTAAGGAGGCATAATGGCCGATACCAATCTGATTTCTGATGCAGCTGCATGCAGCTGGTAAGTCCATTGTGGTGGATGGGGGTTGGAGAGAAGGGGTGGGGGGGGAGCAGATCAATACCTTCTGTGGTGAGAGAGTGGGGCAGAGGCAGACTGCCCAGGTAGCATGCGGGACAGTGCCATGGCTTGTCTGGGGAGAGTGGGGGAAAGGGGTGGCTGCTGCTGCTTGTACCCCGGGCTGGCACGGTGGGGGAGTGTGCCCCCGGATCTGCGCCAGGTGGGGCAGGAGGGCTGCAGCTGTGGCCTGAAGCTGGGGCTGTGCTGGGCTTTTCTCAGTGGGGGCTGGGCTCAGGGTAGTCGGTGGCAGCGCTGGGAGGGGTAGCTATGTGAGGGCTACGGCAAAATTTGGGGTGGCTGCAGCCCCCCCCATACCTCCCTCCCAGTGCCACCTGCCCCAAGCCCAACCTCTGCTGAGAAGAGCTCAGCACAGCCCTGACTCCAGCCCACAGCTGCAGCCCACCTGCCCCTTCCCACACAGATCCAATGACACATGGCCTGCCTGTGCCCTCCTGGGGTGTAAACAGCGGCAGGAGCCACACACCCCTGCACCCCCCAAATGAGCCGCACTTTGTCCTGCCCTGACTGGGCAGCATCTGTCCCTGTCCCACTCCCTCCCTCACCACAGGTGGCATTGATCTTCTCTCCCATTCCCCTTCCCTCCCCACTTCCTTTTCACCACAACGGACCTGCCAGCTGCAAGCAGCTGTCCACGCTGCCGGACTCTGCTCATTGCCACCTATGTGTTGTGCTGTGGCAGCATGCGCACACGGGCATTTATTGGCCAAATTATCAGCTGCATTGGGCTGATTTCCAATACAGCCAATTTAATTTATACCAGTGCCAATCCGATGTTGGACCAGTGTATCGGTACACCTCTACTTACTTGTGGTGAGACATCCTGGATGGATGCTTAGAGTCTTCTCTTAGTTCAGGATGAGAAAACTAAAAAGGTAAAAAAGGATTTAAATAGGGAAAGGGAAATGTACTATAAATATTTCAATAATTCCTTATCAATAAGAAAATTGTACTGATTTTGGTTAAATCAATTTAGACATTGGGTTAGTTGATGATTTATATTTTTTTCCCTTGATGGAGACTAAAATGATGTTAGCAGCATAGTTTAAAATCCTCAAACCAACACCTTTTGTATTCATCTACCCAGTGGCCCTGCAGTGTGTGTATCTGTCTCCATGTTAAAACCACTGGTGGATATTTTTGAAATTGTTAGTCAATTATAGTTCCAGTTATTAGTTGCCCAACTTGAGCCCCTTGTTTGATTCTTCCTCTTCCCCCCCCC